AGCAGCAGTAGCGGCAGTAGCGGCAGTAGTAGCAGTAGCAGTAGCAGTAGCAGTAGCAGTAGCAGTAGTAGCAGCAGCAGCAGCAGCGACGACAACGACGACAACGACGACAACGACGACAACAGCAAACAGAGTCAGCAACAGCAACAACGACAGCAACAAACACCCCAACAGCTACCACCGCCTTCACCGGCGCCGTGGCCGTGATGCCCGTGTCCACGATCACATCTCGGTATCCCAAAGCGTAGAGGGGCTTCCCAGCAGGACTTGCTTGACGCCTCACCTCCGGCCTCACCTCCACCTGACCCAAATCCAAAAACTCTGAGTGAGTCTCCAGGGATGGAGGGGGGCCTTCCTTAAGGGGTTTCGAAGCGCTTACAGGAAATCCAACTTTCATATCCCATGAAGAAGGTATGGTCCTTCTGCCTGGGCGTTTCTGTCGCAGCATCGGGGTCTCCGAGCTCAGGAGCAACGTTTGGCAGGCTTTAGGGAGTCTTACTTAGGGTTAGTGGCGGTTAGGGCAATATTGTTGGGATCGAACCTTTATAAGGATTTGTGCAGGTGGATTCACATGGGGCTTCGCAAGACCTACAGCAGTGTAAACCTTGGCATTTGGATGTACTGTGGTAGCCACCTGTACTGCATCAGGTAGATGCTGCCCTGGTTTTGCAAAACAGGTGGTAGCTCGGATTTTTTTTCGTGTTTAGGTTGCAAGGTCTTGGAAACTGGTGTCAGGCTGGGGCTGACGTAGTCTTGGACATTCGATTTGATTCAAAGGCTGTTTGAAAGTGTGCAACGCTGTAGTTTCTTCATGTTGGCACTGAGAAAGAGGAGCTTCTGTCCTGCCACGGGGCACCCACATTAGTTTGTATTACCACTTTTTACCAGCGTTCAAGTCCACATGCAGGTTAGGCTGAGGTGGCTCCTTACATTAACTGAAGCCACGTGCAAGCAGCAGATTGGGAGGAGCAGAGGGTCTGAAGTGGGCTTGATGTGACACGCGAAGGACAATTAGAAGAAAACTACTTACCGCTTCTTCTGGTCTAGGTATAGCACGTCAAGGTACAAAACACGCTGCAAATGAAGATGTGGTTCTCATTGCAGAATGCAAGTGTTGGATCCCGTCGTGCACACCTGTTCAGGCGCAAGACTCCAAACACAACCGAGTAGGCAAGTGAGGTTCCGGGAACACTTTCAAGGCACAGCCCACTTCGATGGCTCTAGACCTTGATGGCAGAATCTTTGTCTTTGAACCATATAACCAGTCACAAAGTGTCCATCCAAGACTCTGACGCTCTTACTGTACCAGAACCCTTCCCATATCCTGGTCATATCCCCAGAATAACGCTTTGATAGCTCGGCTACTGAATGGGGAGGACCGGGTCTATGATATGGCTCATAGGGTGGACTAAGTCTTCCTCCAAGGAAGTACCTTCTGCAGTCTTAGCCCCAGTAAACCCTAATTGTTGGAGCCCTAAACTCAGCCTTCCTCTATATATCCCTCCAGACTGTGAGCCCTAAATCCTAAACCCTAAACTACCTTAAACAATATAAGTCTTAAACCTTAAACACCAAATCTCAAACCCTCCAACCCTTAACTCTTAGCCCCAGTCATACCCAGCCATGGCTTTGAGCTTCCCAGCCCCCGTGGCCCCCGTGGCGCTGCCGACCGTGCCGCCTCGGGGGGCACTCTGTGGGGCCGTCCGGGGGACGAAGCCCAGGTCCTTTTGGTTTCTGGGGTTTAGGGTTGTAACGTGTATAGGGTTTAGAGGTTGGAAGGGCATTCGGATTTTTGTTGACAATGACTTAGTGGTTTCGGTGTTTCTGGATGCCAAAGGGGGGTCACTCAGGTGTTTAGGTTCAGGGGTGTTGTACTTCTGCATTCTAGGGTATCGCTTGTCGGGTAGTGCATCCTCGTAGCATCGGGACTCTACGGTTCCCCTGTGGAGATTGTTTCCCCCACCCTTGCAGTGGGGTT